CTGGATGAACCGTTCAGCAGACTTGTCCATTCCTGCAGGTACTTTGAGAGAAGCGACCTTGAAGTCATCCCAGTGCCTTAACCACTCATGGGCCTGTCTCTTATACACATCTAGATGTGTATAAGAGACAGGTGTGTGTGTGTGTGTGTGCATGCTACACCTCTCTTATTCCCTCCTACCTCACTTCATAAGGCAATGGTTAAGAGTCAAGATGATCGCTGTGCAAATCATTCTGTGCTATGCGGTCACTACTACTGCATGTGTAGAATGCTATCACAAGTGTGATGGTCAGTACCACATGCACAACAAACAAGTAATCCACATCTCCTGCCCACCCATTCCCACGTCATTCAGCACTCACCAGTGCCCAAAATATCCAGCACATACCTTTGCAGTCATATCTTCCTCAAACCGCTGAGCTCTTGTTACGTCAGATGGAAACGGACGGCTGTTCCAATCAAGCACCCACACACATAAAAGAGTCCCACTCATATCAGCTGTGATACAAAACTTGTCACAGAACGAGCTCAGAAGCAGCCAAATGGTGAACGTGGCTGCGTCTGAATGGCACACACATGTGATTCTCGAGAAGGGCATTGCATTACAAATTTGAATCCCTATCAATGTAGTAAGTTAGCAATATCAAGGGCTGTGGCCTTCTTTACAGAACAAAAAGAAAAAGAGCACATGCCGCAGCGATGCACTCTTGCCGGGTCCTGAAATGCCACACCAGTGACACCACTGATTTTGTGTGTGCCACTCAACGTCTTCCCTGTGGATCAGGATTAAGAATGGACCGAACCAATGCATGGATTGAAGTTAAGGTTTCTAGTGAAGAGACGAAGTAGTCTGAGAGACATATCCAGTGATAATATTTCCGGAACAACAAAAATTCAATATGAACTCTATCTAGGTTACCAGGTTGGGCGTCCGTGGCCTGGGCTGTCCAGGACGCTGGACGCCCTGAAAAAGGGCATTTCAGATGTTGCTTCTACTGACCAATGCCTGACCCGCACCAGCGCATGCCCCAGCAACCCCGCAGGATCAACCTTTGGGTTCATTTTGAACAAAGGGGAAAGAAAGAAAAAAAAAAACAGAGAGCATGCAGTACCTGGCTGATGTTGGAACACTGCACCATGGGTCGTCACTTTCCGCTGTCCCTTCTCTACTGTCTGACGGCTTTGTGTGCAAGTACGAATTGCATGAGCTACACCAACACCAATGTTTCCCTCATTGCAACGTGACAAACTGTCCCATTTTGGTGCCCGATAAAGAACTTCGCACCACGACCCCACGTGCAGGACGAACCTGGAACACGGGTCTCCCAAAGTCTGAGATCCACTTTAAGCTTTGAACTTTGAAGGAGGAAAACAGATGAGATCGTAAGTGGGAGTCTAACCTTTACGGAGATGCAGTGCTGCTGCACTGAAGCAGACAGTCTTGCTTGGGGAGATCAGCACAACAAGGTACATTGGTGTGGTGCAGCACACCATCTTGTCTTGGCCAAAAGCACACCAAGGTGTCTTGCTGTGCCTCAGCACAGTCTTGCCTCAGGTAAAATCAGCACAGCAAGGTACACTGGTGTGGTGCAGCGCACCGTATTGTCTTGGCCAAAGCAGCACACCGAGGTGCCTTGCAACCTGCAGCACACCAAGGTGCCTTGCTATCCTGCAGCACACTGCCGTCCTGCCTTGGGAAGAAGCACTAGTCTACGAAACGTTTGGCAACTGTACCGCAATTTGTATTGCTGATAATGATCTGAACGAAGCCGGAGCATTGCAAGGAAAAATGTGCAGCTCAATCAGACTCTGCGCTTCACACGTAAGGAATGGTGAGGACTTTACCCATTTCACACCAGCTTTCTCCAGGAGTTTGAACAGGCCACTGGAGTACTAAACAAGAGTCAGAGAGCAGCCGCCATGGGAGTACTAAACAAGAGTCAGAGAGCAGCCACTTGGAATATAGAATGAAGAACATACCTACACCAAAGGTGAGGAGCAGGAACTCTGGCAGCAGGTATAGCGAACAGAAAGGTGGTAATCTGTGGATCAACAGCCAAGCCAAAAACAGTGTTCTCGTGTCAGCCATAAACACCAAAGAACTGCAGAACAGGAGAGAACAAGTGCATGGCGAAGCCAACTGTCGGAATGAATCCGTGTTTTTCTTGTGAACGTACATCTGATCGCGGCGATCATCGCGCCTGATCTAAATTTTCTTTTATTCTTGAGACTTACCCACACTACTGAACCATGCACTGGGTTGGGGATAACCTTGAAGGATGACCAATCAATGACTGATGAAAATCCACAACTTCTGACTGTGGTACCCTCATACATTGCAGGACAGAGCTTGTTTACTTGAAGTATCATGGTGCAGCAGACAGCAGAAAACATATAGCATCTTCCCTACCTACCCATTACAGATGGCAAAGGAGACAGCACACCAAAACAAAAAAGAAGTCATTGGCCCTGATGAATGCATCTCGAATGTACTTCCATGCACCTACGACTGACAGCTACAGTTTGCGATCCGAGAATGTGGAATCATTGTAGATAGCTTGATGATTTCTTCTTCCTTTCCCTCTGAGGGTTGCGGGAGTTGTAACCTCCTGAACCCTTCCTCTCACCTCCTGCTCCTCACCCTCTTCTTCAACTCCTCGAATTTAAGCCCTGCACTCAGCACCTCCATCCTTTTCCATCACGTGCACTATGCAGCCAATATATTCTAAAGACAACTGGAAAAAGTAGGGAGAGAGAAACACACTTGTCAACCCTTGCGAAACTCGAGCTACTTGCCAAAACAACACCCCACACTACCTGCTATAGAGCCATCCACAAAAACTTAAGCATGAAAGCATGGGCACACATGCAGACATGCACAATCTTATGCCTTTCCTTCTTGTTTCTTTTTTAATTATACCTTTCTCAGCTTTTCTCCCTCCTCCCCTCACTTTCACTCTTTTTCCCCCTTGAAGTACTTCGACCGCGTTGAATGTGGAAACGACGAAGGAGAAACCTGTACTACATTTGATAATGCATGCAGTGATTGAGGGCAGAGAGGGACTGGGAAAAGAGCTGAAGCACCCCAAGCCATTGAGCCATCCCTAAACACCAGGGCACGAAAGTGTGCGCACACATGCACACACAGACAATCTTTTGCCTTTTCTTTTCGTTTCTTCTTTTAGCACATACTTTTTCTCAGCTTTTGCTGAACGTGGCAGTGGCAAAGGAGAAACCTGTACTATATATATTTGACGCAGTGATGGAGGGCAGAGACGGACAGGGAAAAGAACTCAAGCACGCCAATGCTCAAACCATCCACACACACTCGTGCACCAAAGCGTGCGCACACATGCACACACACACACACACACAATTTTATGCCTTCTTTGTTTCTTTTTTTAGAACATACTTTGTCTCAGCTTTTCTCCCTCCTCCTCTCCCTTTCGCTCCTTGTTCGAGTGCAGAGAGGGTGAGGAAAAAGCGCTGAAGCACACCAAGTAGTCATGCAGAATGAAAGAATGACAGCAGAAGTAACAATACGTACCATGCCTTCACTGCAGGTTAGGAACTGAGCCATCAGGGACTTACCCTCAGCTGCGAGGTGTGATCGACTCGAACACATTCCAACAAAGACTTGCTTTGCTTACCTCCCTCAATGAGACGTGTTTCGTGAAGTTTGTTCTTATTTATGCCTCCCATGAGGCAGCCTCATTTACTATTGGTCTTAGCCACGCAAATCTCTTGTACCTCATGATTCCAGGAGACCTCTGAAGGGATCACCAATTCTTGGAACAGGAAAAGTCTTGCATCGTGGAGTTGCATTGGATTCAAATTTAAAACTCTTCACCATAAGTCACTTCTACAGTTCTACTTGTTGATTCCTCGACTTTTACAAGCTCCACTTTCGAAAAGAATGTGAGTGAACTCACAGAAGGCAGTCAATACGTACTTACCAGGTCCTGCAGTGATTCACAGCGCCACAGGAAGGTCTTCACAATGTCTGCTAGCACAGACGAGTACTCCAGATATCGAGCAGGATCAGAGGCAATCTGTGGATTTTGTGAAACAGCCCCAACAGACACAGTATCCACCCCATGCATGAACAGATGATTTCAAGTCAGCACGCACTCATCCGTTTTGGTAGCACGGCATCAGTCGGCTCTGGCTCTGCTGCGGAGGGTATGGTGGCACACATTCTGCCAGCAGCAGTTTTGCTGGCAGGGCACTGAGGAGCCCATGAGGCCCATAGAGGACATCTTCCATTACTTTGTTGAATGCAACAGGATCAGCTCCCTATGGAAAGGAGCAGAATCAGTCTCTAAGAGTGTTACGGATAACGAGCTGTCAAAAGACTTCTTGTGCTCTTAACAGCGCTAGAAGAGCCTGCATCAACCGGTCCAAGGAGCAGGAGGGTCACTGCAGTTTTCGATCTGTTTTTCTTGGATTAAAGCTCAGTTGACAGGTTCTCTACCTTCTTCCCCCAAACACAACGTAGGGTCATTATAGCTGTCTTTCAGTCTAAACACAGCAACAATGATCGTATGTTGTATTCGGGGGAAGAAGGTAGTGACGAACCTGAGAGGAATAACAGGGAAAGGCAAGATGACAGTCAATCCTCCATCCAGTGGAGTAATCAATGTTGTTCAGGGACCCTTCAGCCGGATGGAAGGGTGCGTGAGTGGGTATATGATGTGATACTGTTTTTTTTGCCTTGCCACTGTTGCCAGGGGAACAGTTTGGTGACCTGGAGGGCATGAGGCTAACTTGGGCAGGGGGGGGCTTGGGGTGGGGGGGTGGGGGGTTGGGGGGGGTTATCCTTCCCAAAGGAAGTAATCAATGCCGTCCACTCCAACCTTCCACCCATGATGGGGAGAAGCGAGCGTGATTATCATATGTATCTTGCTTGACTTGTTGGTGGAAAAGGAACCGGACTGCTGCTCCCCAGAATAGAAGGAGCCTTGTTTTTTTCCTTAAGTAAAAAAAGAAAAGAGCCTGAAGCATGTTCCACCACTGATAGATACTCATTCCAGATACTAAGGCTCTCTTGTGGATAATGTGGAAGAATCAGTCTCAGGAAGCTATATACAAGACAAGAACTACATATCTGCTCCAGGAATCCTGGGCTTCAGTCCAAGATGTTCAGTAACCTGGAAATGCCCAGCCCTAGCGGTCGAATGACAAATGACACAAACATGTAACTTCCAATAAACAGGTCCCGAAATCGGACGGATACAATAATGTTAGGGCCTTAACCCGTTAACAATGACCTGGAAAAATGCCGGCGAAGTATGGAGAAAGTTCAGGATAAGCCAGAGAAAACATGGGAGTTCGTCCATAAGAACATCGTAGCAGCAGGGTAGTTGACAAATACCATCGGGTGAACCAGGAGGTTTGCCATAAGGACATCCTCGCAGAAGGAAAGTTCGCATCATTATAGGGCAAGCTACAAATGTCTCAACACTGGAAGTCTCAGCTCGCTTCCGTGTGTGCAGCATCCCAGAATCATCACTTTGAAGTCGGAATGATCCAGCCAAGAGTAGGGGGCATGAATCGGCCCAATATAGGGCTGCTGCCTGCTGGATAAAAGTCATTTTCCTGGGCAGAGTACAGTATCAGAGGAGGAAAAGATGCATAGCCTACAAATTATACTAGGTTGCACAAGGTCCAGCAAACATCCGAAATGGTGTACTCACATACTACTCAGGGTATTGCCGAGGTATACCAAGGTACTGACAAATGAAACAATCCGCCATCAAAACTGTCGATGTTGTAGTCTTTGGGTTGTGACTTTTGCCTGAGTTCTGGGTCAAAAGTCAGGCTGTGGGGTCGTAGGGGCACAAACAGTAATGATGAGATCAAAAGCCTAGGGGCACAGCATCCGTCCCCCGGGCGGTGCGAAGGGCAACAGTGGGCTCTCCCAGGTCCAGCAGTCCAACAGTCGAATCGTTCTCCAGCAGTCACCACACCAATGATCACAAACGAATCCAAAGGCCCTGGTATAGCTTTCAGATACGTTCAGGGCAGCCTGTGCCAGGCAGCCCCAGATCAAGGACAAATCTCAGCTTCTCAGACATAAATATTGGCCCTCCATGCACCAGAGGAGGCAGGCCCGGCCAGTTGACACTACATATTCAGCTTTCAACCAGTCTCGGTCATTAGTTCTGCAGTGCATGCTATGCAGCCACTGCTGTATGCTGGACACTAGAGCTGGAGAGAAGAAGGCAGAGAGAGAGAGAGAGAGAGAGAGAGAGAGAGAGAGAGAGAGA